CCCACGCCCAAAGCCACACTAATTATTCACGATACTAGAAGCGCCGAATCTCATTATAAATTTATGGCTGCCATATATTCAAAACCAATATAAACAGAGGAAATGTGTTATAGTTCCCCGAATCCCTAGACCACTTGACAGCGAGATGGGAGGTGAGAGGAGACAAATAGTTCACATAAATACTCATGTCTGTATGAGTATAAATATATATATATATATATGTATATATATATATATATATATATATATATATATATATATATATATATATATATATATATAAATATATAGATAGATCAATGAATATATATATATATATATATATATATATATATATATATATATATATATATATATATATATATATATATATATATATATTCATTGATCTATCTATATATTTATATATATATATATATATATATATATATATATATATGTATATATATATATATATATATATATATATATATATATATAAATATATAGATAGATCAATGAATATATATATATATATATATATATATATATATATATATATATATATATATATATATATATATAAATATATATAATATATTTATATGTGTGTGTAGGAGTTTATGAGAGAGAGGGAGAGAGAGAGAGAGAGAGAGAGAGAGAGAGAGAGAGAGAGGAGAGAGAGAGAGAGAGAGAGAGAGAGAGAGAGAGAGAGTTCATGAGAAAGAGAGAGGGGGGGGGTGCAAAGCAACAAGACATGACCATGCAGCCATTCGTGAGGACCAGTAAATTGTATACAAATTCTTGACGCAGGGGAAACAGACGCAAGAAAATGTGGTTATGCGTGCTTGTTTGTTTGTTTATTTTATTTGATCATTTATCTATTTATTATTATTATTATTATTATTATTATTATTATTATTATTATTATGTGTATACGCGCGCGCGCTCGCATGCATCCCTGCTTGCGTGCGTCTATATGTGTGTGTGTGTGTGTGTGTGTGTACAAGTGTGTGTATGAGCGTGCATGTACGTGTATGTTTCTTTATCTATTTTCTTGTTTCTCTGCCTGTAAAGTTTGCGTGCATGTTTATTCTAGCGTTGTATTTACATGTTTGAAACCGGCATTAATATAAGTGTATGCATTTATCTGTGTGAATGTGTGAATACGCGAGTGTACTATGCATGCCTGAGGGAGCCTGTACATATGTAATAGTGTTGGCGTGAGTGCGTCCATGTTTATGCGTGTGTGCATATGTTTATGTGGTTATCGACCCTCGCATTTAGGGAGGGGGGGTTGGGGTATATCGACCGGGGGGGGGGGATCCGGGGAGAGTGACGCGGCGAGGAGAAAGGAGGGGAGAGGAGGGGAAGGTGGAAAGGAGGGGGAGGGAGGAAGGGGAATAAAGGAGGTGTGGGTAGGGTAGGAGGGGGAGAAAAAGGGGGTTGGGTGGGAAGGGGAAGAGAGGAGGAGTGGGTAGGGGGTAGGGGAGGAGGGAGAGGAAAGGAGGGGGAGTAGGGGAGGAAGGAGAGGAAAGGAGGGGGAGTAGGGGAAGAACATGGGGAATGAGGAGAAGGAAGAAGAGTAGGAAGAGCAGGGTAAGTATAAAGGGGGGGGAGGGAAAGAAGGGAAGGGAAGGGAGGAAGTAGGAGGGAAAGGAGAAAAGAAATGTTGGGGGAAGAATGAGGAGAAAGTAGAAGTAAGAAAAGGTGAAAGAGGAGGGTGGATGAAGGAGGAGGAGGAGGAGGAGGAAGGGGAAGGGGACAGAGGGAATACAGATAAGAAGGAAGAGTGGAGGGAAAGGGAGTTAGGAAAAGTTGGGGACGGTGAATACGAAGGTGGTGGTAGGTCAGATGGGGGGGGGGGAAGAAGGGGAGGGGGGAATGCAAGTGGGCAGGGAATGGGGGAGGGGGTGAGGTGCGGAAGAAGGGAAGGGAGAGGGGAGGAGAGAGAGGGAGAGAGGGGGAGAGGTGAAGAGGGGGGGGGTGAGGTAGGGGGAGGAGAGTGGGGGGAGAGGTGAGGTGAGGAGAGTGGGGAGGGAAGGGGGGGAGATGAGGAAAAGTGCGGAAGAGGAGGAGGAAGATGATAGGTGAGGGGGAGGGGGAGAGGTGAAGAGAGGGGGAGGGGGAGAGAGGGGGGAGGGGGAAGAGGTGAGGAGAGGGGGAAGGGGAAGAGGTGAGGAGAGGGGGAGGGGGGGAGGTCAGAAAGCGCGTGCTGGTAAGTGAGTCACGGATGACGATAGTGGCGCAGTGGTGTCAGTGACTTGATGTTGGAAGGGAAGGAATGATGGCAGGGGACGCGTGGATAGGGAATAGAATAAGAGAGAAGGAGAGAGAGGGAGAGAGAGAGAGAGAGAGAGAGAGAGAGAGAGAGAGAGAGAGAGAGAGAAGGGGGGGGAGAAGAGAGGAGAGGGAGAGAGAGAGAGAAATTAGAATAGGAAAGAAAGTAAAAAAGTCGGATTAGAAAATATAACAACTAAAATAGAGGAAAAAAAAAGAGGAAAAGAAGAAAGAGGAAGAAGAGGAAGACGAAAAAGAAAGAAAAAAAGTAAAGGAAAAGGAAAAATAGAGAAAAAAGTGAAGAGGAAGAGGAAAAAGAAAGAATAAGAAGAAGAGGAAGAGAAGAAAAAGGTGACATTCTGTATCGATCAATATGACTCACACCAGACAATAATAATAGTGAAGTTGTAAATAATTGTCGTTGTTATTAATTACGTAAAAAAAAACGTTAAGTAATACTGTTGTAATGGAAATGCCACGAAGCAGAATAGTTACGAAGATTACTAAATCAGACAAACAAGTAATTAATCCTAGTAATCAATAAACAAGCTCTTCTGTTATTGATTCAGAGTCGTCGCGTGGTCATTACCGGTTGCTTGTTTCTTTGCTTGTTTACTTGTTTGATTGTTTGCTTGATTGTTCATCCCGTGGGGCGTATTTTTGGCTAGAAACCTAATAGCTTCTTTCCGTTTTCTTCATTAATTTCGTGTAATTGATTATATATGTATATATCTGGATATGTATATATATATACATATATGATATATTTTCTTTCTTTCTTGTCTTTCTTTTATCTGTATGCAAATGAAGATGTTCTTTTTAGTCCCCCCTTTCGTTTGTTTATTGTTTATTTTGTCCAAATATGCCTTGTGATTTTTTGTTTTGTTTTGTTTATCATCCTATTCACCAACGGACAATTATGTTCACGGTTTTCAATGTCTTTTCCTATCTGCCTCCATCTATCCCTCTCCTCGACCAATCGTTAAAAAAAATCCGCCTATAAAAAAGGAAAAAATAACAGTAGATATAGAATGATAGAAAACGAGAGAGTTACAATAAGGGTGCGAAGAGGAAGAAAAATAAACGAGTTGCCACCTTCACGAATTTAATTGATTGTTTCGGCTCCCTCGAGCTCCCGTTTTCTCTTTGTTTTTACGTCGGTGTCACGCGATCGAAGGGGTCTCTCATGTAAATCCTTTAACACTCGTATACTAGTTTGTATTTATATCGATATCAATTTTAGAGATTTTTCGTCGTGAAAAGTTGTTTGCATACAGATATATGTTATATATCATATTACGCGCACGCACACGCACGCACGCACGCACGCACGCACGCACGCACGCACGCACGCACGCACGCACGCACGCACACACACACACACACACACACACACACACACACACACACACACACACACACACACACACACACACACACACACACACACACACACACACATACATACATACGTGCATATATATATATATATATATATATATATATATTATATATATATATATATATATAATATATAGATACATACATGTAGATATATATATATATATATATATATATATATATATATATATATATATATACATATATATATATATATATATATATATATATATATATATATATATATATATATATATATATATATAACAATCCTCCCTGACCAGGCCTCGAACCTAGGTCACTCCGGGTATGAGTTCGTAGGACCAGTACTAAACCAACCATACCCGGAGTGACCTAGGTTCGAGGCCTGGTCAGGGAGGACTGTTATATATCCATGTCAATGCGGTACTGCATTATTCTTTCATATATATGTATATATATATATGTGTGTGTGTGTGTGTGTGTGTGTGTGTGTGTGTGTGTGTGTGTGTGTGTGTGTGTGTGTGTGTGTGTGTGTGTGTGTGTGTGTGCATGTGTGTGTGTGTGTGTGTATGTATGTATAGGATGTCGAGATAGACAGTATTTGCGCGCTTAATTAAGTCAATAGTCATCCCTACAAAAGGCAATGATAATATTTCACAAAACATTTTTTTTATCACAAACACGACAACAGAAAGTAAATAATGATAATAATAATAATAATAAAGAGAAAAAAGAAAAACTGCGCTGATAGATTGGACAGCGCTGTCGGGCGCACGATTAGCTCGGTGGAAATATGTTTACCGCAACTCTGCAATTTCGCGCAACTTTGGCAGGTCCTCTTGAGGCTTTAACAATTTTGCTCTTATGATTATGCGGTCGTGGTGTACCTCTATTTTTAGATCGGGACAGAGAAAAATGGATACAGAGATATTGGGTCTTATACTCGTTCTCTGTCTGTCTGTTTGTCTGTCTCTCTTTCTCTTTCTGTCTCTCTGTCTATCTGTCTGCCTGTCTCCCTCACCCCCGACTCTCTCTCTCTCTCTCTCTCTCTCTCTCTCTCTCTCTCTCTCTCTCTCTCTCTCTCTCTCTCTCTCTCTCTCTCTCTCTCTCTCTCTCTCTCTCTCTCTCTCTCTCTCTACTTATCTATCTATCTATCTATCTCCCTCCATCTCTCCCTCCTCATATAGATTAGTAAAAACAAATAAATATTTACGTATTTTTCATTTAATTGGCTGTAATAACTTACATTTCTTGCATCTGGCCCTGAAATTATATATATTTTTACATAAATGATTATTGTAATTACATAACCTTTGTGTATCCCTTTAAAAAGTATTACAATTACTTTTTTTCCGCAGAGAGAATAACGAAAAGAAGAAAGACCGGAAGTGAAGGAGAGAAGAGAAAACGGGAGACAGCAAAGGTGAATATGCTAATTTCTCGTTAATTGGATTAAAACTCATTAAGATAAATAACAGACATACACATAATTGCCTCTACGTCACGATTGCCACAAACAAAGACACAAAACATTACCGTAATTCGTGAAATGAATTACTAAAAGGTAACTCAGCGTGGAAGGCGTTGCTATGGTAACGGCAGCAACAGTACTTTTCCCCGAGGAATACTTGATGAGTGTGTCCCGCCTCAGCTGTGTAAGTACGGAGGATGAGAGCTCGAAAAGGCTTTTTTTTTAAGATAACGATTCAAGGGGGGAGGGGGTGGAGGGAAGGCGAGGGGTTAGGGTGATGATTTTGTTGTGTGGTGTAGGTGGGAGGGGAGAGGGGGGAGGGAGAGGGAGGGGAAGAGGGAAGGGGGAAAGGGACATTTGAATAAGTGAGCGAAAGGGGTGTCCGGCTGAGGAATGGCGGTCGTGTTGCTTAGGTGACCTTTTTTGTGTTTGGAAAGGCATGGAGGAAGGTTAATCGAGTACATACACAGTAGACGATATAATATTTGCGTGTTTTAATATGTATATATAATATATATACATATATATATATATATATGTATATATATATATATATATATATATATATATATATATATATATATATATATATATGTGTGTGTGTGTGTGTGTGTGTGTGTGTGTGTGTGTGTGTGTGTCTTATACACATAGATATAAACATACAAATACACACAGACGCACACACACACACACACACACACACACACACACACACACACACACACACACACACACACACACACACACACACACACACACACACACACACACACACACACATACACACATCCACACACACCTAGATACACACGACCAATATTTTTTTTCCCAAACCATTTAAGGAGAACAAACTGACCTTGTATGAAGATAGCCCCCCCTCCTCCCTCTTTTTTTAGAGAGCATTTCCGGCAGATGGATGACGTAATCGGGCACGTGACCTTAATAAAAGAGCCACGGATAAGACGGCGAAGGAGAAATTAGGTCATTTAGTCTCTTTTCGTGACCTGAGATAGAATGGAATGGCTGTTAGATATTAAGGGAAATGTGTGTTTGATTTTTATGAAGGAGGAGGAGGAGGATGAAGAGAAGGAGGAGGAGGAGGAAGATGAAGAGAAGGAGGAGGAGGAGGAGGAGGAGGAGGAGGAGGAGGAGGAGGAGGAGGAGGAGGAGGAGGAGGAGGAGGAGGAGGAAGAAGATGAAGAGAAGGAGGAGGAGGAGGAGGAGGAGGAGGAGGAGGAGGAGGAGGAGGAGGAGGAGGAGGAGGAGGAGGAGGAGGAGGAAAAGGAGGGGGGGAGGAAGATAAGTAGGAGGAGGAGAATGAGGAGGAAAAAGAGAAGGAGAAAAAGAAGAAGAAAAAGAAGAAGAAGAAGAAGAAGAAAGATAAGGAGGAAAAGCAGGAGGAGAAAGAGGAAAGAAAAAGAAGAAGGAAAATAATAATAATGATGATGATGATAATAATAATAATAATAATAATAATGATAATAATAATAATAATAACAAAAACAACAGCAACGACAACAATAATGATAATGATAACACTTTGCCGCCCTTGCCCCCCCCCCCCTTACTCCAAAGAAGGGAAGGAAGAAGTGGCGGTTTTGCAAATGACCTTGAATTCCCTTCCTTAATTGGTGACCTGACATGCGACGCGAGCAAGGCTGGAGGGAAGTCCTTGTCAGATAGATAAAGGGAGGGGGGGAGGGGGGGAAGGGGGAGGGGGGAATGGGGTAATAGAGAGGGGAATTGGTGGGGGGAGGGGAGGGGGAGTGGTACGGGGAGGGGAGGGGGAGTGGTAGGGGGAGGGGAGGGGGATTGGTAGAGAGAGGGGAGGGGGAGTGGTAGGGGAGGGGAGGGGGAGTGGTAAGGGGAGGGGAGGGGGAGTGGTAGGGGAGGGGAGGGGGAGTGGTAAGGGAGGGGAGGGGGAGTGGTAGGGGAGGGGAGGGGGAGTGGTACGGGAGGGGAGGGGGAGTGGTAGGGGAGGGGGAATGGTAGGGGAGGGGAGGGGGAGTGGTAGGGGAGGGGAGGGGGAGTGGTAGGGGAGGGGAGGGGGAGTGGTAGGGGAGGGGAGGGGGAGTGGTAGGGGAAGGGAGGGGGAATGGTAGGGGAGGGGAGGGGGAGTGGTAGGGGAGGGGAGAGGTAGGGAATGGGGAGGGGTAGGGGGAGGGGAGGGGTAGGGAAAGGGGAAGGGGATGGGTTAGAAGGGGAGGGGGATGGGTTGGGTAGGCGGATGGGGAGGGAGATTAGAGGTGGGGTGGGGGAGCAAAGTGGGGGGGGGGGGGTTAGAGGAGTGGTCGGTGTTACCATCTATGGCTCTTGATATGTGATGATGATTAGGGTGACTGTGATAACGGGGGTGGGGGGAGGGGGGGAAGTAAAGGTAGAGAGAGAGACAGACACAGACAGATAAAGACAGACGCAGATAGATACAGACAAACAGTCAGACAGTAAGACAATCAGTGAGTGAGTGAGTGAGTGAGTCAGTCAGTCAGTCAGTCAGTCAGTCAGTCAGTCAGTCAGTCAGTCAATCACACACACACGCACACACACACACACACACACACACACACACACACACACACACACACACACACACACACACACACACACACACACACACACATCCACACACATCCACACACATACATACAGACAAACAGACAGACAGACAATCAGACAAACAGACAGACAGACAAAGACACAAAATCATAACACAAAGAACAATAACTCACAGACGAAACCAAAGACATAATGAAGAGAGAAACGGAACCTGTCAATTATTCTCCATCGGAATCTCACAACAAAGACAACAATAATTAGACAAGAGGGGGGAGGGAAGAGGGGGGAGGGGAGGGGTGGCCAAACGTATTTGCATAAATTCCACAGGCAATAATTAGCTGAACTAGCCAGTCAGTTATTTGGTGTGCACTTTATGCGTTTGTGCATGTGTGTGTGTGAGAGAGCGAGAGAGAGAGAGAGAGAGAGAGAGAAAGAAAGAGATGAGGAAAGGAGAGGGAGGTTTGTAAGAGAGACGAGAGAGAAGAAGAAGAGGGGGGGGGGAGGGAAAACGAAACGAAAGAGGGAGAAGAGAGGGAGGATAAGAGAAGAGAGAGAGGAGAGGTGAAGAGGAGGAGAGAGGACAGGCGTGAGGAGGAGATGAGGAGAGCGAGAGAGGAGAAGACGAGACAGAGACGATGAGAGGTGAGGAGAGAGGGCCGAGAGGAGGAGGGATAGAGAGAGAGAGTGAAGGAGAGGGTGAATGAGGAGAGGAGGTATGAGACGAGGCTCTGGTTGGAGAGGGCTGAGGAGATGCGAGGGAGAGAGAGTGATCCGAGAGAGGGAGAGAGAGAGAGAGAGGGAGGGAGGGGGAGAGTGCATGTGTGTTTTTGTGTTTTTGTGTTGTGAGTATGTTTTGAGGGAGGGACGTAGTGAGGGAGTGACGAGTGAGTGTGAGCGAGTGTCGTGAAGTGAGTGTTTCGTGAGTGTGGGTGTGGGTGTAGTGTGTGTGTGTGGTGTGTGTGTGTGTGTGTGTGTATATGTATGAGAGGAGATGAGAGAGAGAGGAGAGAGGAGAGAGAGAAAGGAAAGAGGCGAGAAGAGAAAAGAGGAGAAAGAGGAGAAAGAGAGAAGGGAGGAGAGAAGGGGCGGATGGAAGGCTGGGGGGAGACCGGGAGGGGAGGAAAGAGGAAAAGAGTGAAGGAGGAAAGAGGGCGATTGGGGAGGGGGGAGGAAAGAGAGAGGAGAGAGAGATTGAGACGAGAGAGGAGAGAGGGAGCGGAGGAGAGAGGAACTGGAGAGGGTGGGAGAGAGTCAGAGAGACGATGAGTGAGAGTCCAGAGAGAGACGAGAGGAGAGAGAGGGAGGAGGGGAGGGAGGGAGGAGGGAGGGAGGGGAGAGGGGGAGAGTGACATGTGTGTTCTGTGTGTGGGTGGTGAGGAGGAGGGGTGAGGGAGGAGAGTGAGGGAGTGACGTGAGTGTGTGAGCGAGTGTGTGAATGTGAGTGTTGTATGGTGGTGTGTGTTGTGTGTTGTGTGTGTTGTTGTGTGTTGTGTGTGTGTGGTGTGTGTGTGTGTAGTGTGTGTTATGTGTGTTGTGTATGTGTATATGTTGAGAGGAAAAGATGAGGATAGAGAGAGAGAGAGAGAGAGCGAAGAGGATGGATGAGAGGAGGGCGAGGAGGGAGAGGGGGACGGAGGATGATGAGAGAGGAGAGAGAGAGAGAGAGCGGGGGGGGGAGGAGGCAGGGAGGAGGAGGGATAGAGAGAGACGAGATGGACGAGAGGCAGTAGAGAGCTGGAAGGGAGGGAGGGAGAGAGAGGGAGGGGTCTGAGGTAGGGAAGTGCATGTGTGTTTGTGTGTGTGGTGAGGTGAGTGAAGTGAGTGACGGTGAGGGGAGGGAGTGAGGAATAAGTGAATGAGTATGAGCGTAGTGAGTGTATTGTGAGCGAGTGTGTGAGGAGTGTGTGGTGTGTGTGTAGTGTGTTGTGTGTTGTGTGTGTGTTGTGTGTTGTGTGTTGTTGGTGTGTGTGTATGTATGTGTATATGTATGTGTGTTTGTGTGTGTGCGCAAGTGCATCGTCACCCCCTGCCCGTGCCGCGTGCGGTCTCGAAGCACGTCCTCCGCGGCGCATGACACGGCCGTCGACGTGGCAACAGGCGAGCGTCGAGAGCCTCGGCCTCGAAGGTCAGCGCGATTATGATGAACGAGGAGGAGGCTCCCTCGGGGGGCTGTGACCCGGGGCGGCCGCAGCGGAAGCCGTTCAGGGTACGTGGCCCGTCGGGAGGCTGGATTGACTCGACTCAGGTGCCCGAACGCGACTCACACTTATTTTAGGATGCTGATATGTCTGAGACTTGCCTCCGGATGCGGGCGCGCTCGAGATACCCAACCGAGGAGGCTGGCTTGTCCGAGATTCATCTCAGGAACGTCTGCGTGCCTGGGACTTACCCACGGA